GTAAGTATGACTGTGTTCTCAATGTTAAAGGCACCCCCCCCACAAACCTATAATGGTATCTACCTACCTACCTACCTACCTACCTACCTACCTACCTATCACATTCTCTGAGAAATGCATTTGCTATTTCTTCCTTCATGTTTTCTCAGGAATAACATCCTTTAAACTTTGAATGCCTCTTTTTAAGTATTATTGTTTTCAGTTAAAGGGCTTCTATGCTATTTTGATTAATATCACACACTGCAGTATGTGATGAGATCTTTAAAAATATTGGATTAAAACGAACCAGTTTTTTTTTCCTCAAAACGATTGGGTGCTCAATGTTTCCACTCTTCCCACCCAAGCAAACTGGGAAGGAGTAGGTGTACAATAACAGAGGGTAGGGAACTTATATGGTCACACTATGAGAAAGTAAAAATTGTGTATTTGCTCCCCCCCCCCAGTGGGATTCTATGTAAAATAAATTACTACAAATGCCATCATTTAGGAAAAAGGTTTTAACTATGGGGCTTTTAATTTTAATGGTTGAAAATATTTTCAAATGCCATTGGTACAGTTTATATATCAAATAATAACAATTCTCAACCGCGCCAAATTGCAGTTGCAATTGTTGTCACTGACTTTAAGTTGAGGTAGGTATTTTAAGGTGGAGGCTCACTCAAAACATGCTTGAGGAGCAAGTAAGGAAGAACCCGGGCCAGTGTCTTCATAACGGATCTAGAAAGGGCCTTTGCCAATGAACTGGAGGCTTTCTAGGTAATAAGCAATTAACAACTGAGTGGGGCTCTTGTATGGATTTGTTTGATTTATTTGATAAATAAATCCAGGTGCACACAAACCAGTTCTGAAGTGGGATTCTTCTCCATTTCTGAAGGCAAAAAAAATCCACTTCCTCTTCTTTATCTAACTGGCATTTGGCCATTAACCACCCCCTCCCCCGCTCCCCAGACATCAACCAAATATGCAGCAAATGTCAATGCAGTTTAATGAAAAGCATGACAATTAAAATTGCTTACATGAATTTGTATTCTAGAGTTAGAGTTTCAGCCTAAATTAAATACTTTAAATGGTTTCAGTGAAACCGTTTTAACATGAGCTTCTGTGGCTCTTTAAAGCACTGTGTTCTTTTTTTCCTGCTCCTCATCCTCAAAGGAACTTAACTCTTGACTTGAGCTCTGTATCGTAAGAGTCCTGAGAAAGATAGGCCTAAGTATACCATTGTGGTACATTTTTAAACAATAGAAACGCCCATGTCTAGGCTATGCCACTTCAAGCTGTAATAAGGAGGGAAAGCTTCCTTCCACATCACAAAGACTCTGACACCCAGGAACTGGTGTGAGCCAGGGTACTCGCCCATTACTTTAAGTGACCCAGCTCCTCTCCCACCTGCCAGCTTCCTCTTTGCCAGCTTGTTTTTCCCAGTCAAATAGAGATCAGTCAAGTGAGCCCCATCTGCAACCCGAAGTACTGTGGGCCAAACAGTACTGTAGTTGCAGTCTACTGTTGTGGGAAATTGCAGAGAAGTTGTTTCAGTTGGAAAACACCGGCAGTCTCCGGGCGATTGGAAACCAACGCGGACCTGCATTCCGGGCGCTGTCCGCCGGCCAGCCATATTTTAGCCGCGCACCCGACCCGCGGTGGATTTGGGCGGCGGCGTACGGAGAGGTACGTGAGTGCGCGCGAAAGAGGGAACGCGCGCGATGTTTTTCCACGCGCCTAGCTCCCTCTCCGACGTTTTAGCGCCACCCCTTCCCATTTTGGGCCGTGTCCCTTTTCCATGAAATACCCGTGAAGTATTAATATACAGAGAAGTTCTAAGCGTGGAGAGGGGATCACTTCTTCACTTTTATATATGCGGAGACCTCACACTCGGTAAATTACAGGATACGGCTTTCTTTCAGAACGGAACGCGGCGCTTTAGGGGCTTCTCACGACCGCCAGCAGCGTGGGCATTGCCTTAGTGGTGTTTCCCCGGCCCCAAAAGCTGTTACCTTACGGTGGGTCCTTCGTATCATTACCGCTAGGTCTCCCTGCCTCGGTGACTCTCATGATTGCTCTACCAGGCCCCTTGGAATTCGTGGCAACTTCGGGAGGGAATTAATCCTCTTCTGTTCGTCCTGATTAACGAGGTTAAGACAAGGGGACTCATTAGCCGCCATAGATCCTATATCACTCAGGTTTTCTCCTCTGCTTATGAATAGTGTGGAACCCCTCGACCTACGAGGGCTGAGGAAGCCCTCCATGGTCACAGAAGTGGAGGGGGCAAAATAGAACAAAGCACCTTTCCCATAATGAGAGAGAGCAGCCTCAGCAAAACGGGGAGTCCAGCGTCTGCCTACTGTCGCTTCAGACTCAACTTGTCAAAAAACAAAAATAAAACGAGTTCTCCGCTTTAGGGTCGGTATGGTTCAGATCCGGTAGACAGCTCACATCTCGCCAGCCACTGGGTCCGGCTCAAGGCATCACTGACTGTCTTCCCACTCTCCAGCTGCAAGTTTCACAGAAAGTCCAGCTTCCTAATGGAAACCCATTCTTTTTCTCTCAGGACATCGTTCACTGGCTGTAGCTAGGCTTCTGCAGTGACAGGCAAAGCTGTTTTGCTTCCTGTTCCCGGCTTTCTTCACTAGTGGTTTAATGCACCTCTCAGCCCTCTCTGTTTGGTAAAAAGAACCATCAATATTGTCCAGATTGTGGGCAACGTTCTGAGTCTTGGTACATGTGTCTTGAACTCCTGGTTGGGGGTCAATATTTTCAGGCCAATATTTGGTCAATAAGACGGCTGATATAAGAACCTCCCCCCCCCCCCCCCCC